ACAGCAGATAGAAAATATTTGAAATAATAATAATAATACAACAGTTTAAAAAGTACAAATGAAAATACAGTATACAACTATTTGCATAGTATTTATATTGCATTAGATGTTATAAGTAATCCAGAGATGATTTAAAGTATATAGGAAGATGTGCATAGGTTATATGTAAATAGCACACCATTTTATATAAGAAACTTGAACATCTGCAGATTTTAGTATCCACAGGGGATGGGGGTGTCCTGGAATCAATCCCTGCAGACACTGAGGGGAGATTGTACTCATCAGTATTAGCCAGCACTAAGTCAGCACACAAAACATTTGCTTTATGCAGTTTTTATCTGTACTACATTTCAAAATAAAAAAGTTTTCATTAAAAGAGGTAGATGAGCACACTATCAGGAGTCCTCTACTCTGTAATGGTGAAACAGTTGGAAAGAAAGAGCTTTTTTGGGGGGGAGAGAAAGAGGAGGGATTAATTACTATGAAGGAAAAAGGATATGGAAAGCAAAAATGTTAAAACATAAGGGCAATCCCAAAAGATTAAACCACTGCACCATACATGGAAAAGTGCTGTATTTTGGCATTACTGTAGTTGGTACATTTCTGATCAGTGTGGAGATGGGAGGTACAGGAGAATATTCTAGGTTCTGGCTTACAGATATCAGAAATATGACTACAGTGTAATAGAACTGATTTACTAAACCACCCTTCCAAACACATATCCAGAAAATGTCATTCCATGTAGTTCCTGTGAGCAGACTACACACTTATTCTAATTATCTTGCCATTGCTCAAAGTAGTTTGTAACTACACTTTCTAAACTGCCTTCAGAAATAATTTAGTTATAGGTGCAAAACAATTGGTCTTACGACTTTACTGTCACACCATCATTTGAGCAAGATCTGTATTTCCCAGCCCAATCACACAAAACATTCACAAAATTTTGGTCATTTCCAAAAATCAAATCCACTCTGGAAAGGCAAAGATTTGCCACCAGTGAAGACATTCTAAAGAATGTGCCGTATCTGTGAAGGAAACTCAGAGGAGTTCCAAAAATGTTTTGGGCAGTGGCAGTGTCACTGCAATGAGTACTTAACCTCCTCAAGTGACTTAGGAGAAAGAAGTCGTTTTTATCATAAAATGGGATATATTTAAAGTAAGTCTTATTACTTTATGATAATTTTTAAATATTTACTTGGGCATTGTCTTAAAAAGAAAAACTTCCTACTATAATATTTTTCAAGGATAAGATAGATAAAAAGGTTTGCTTGGGAAGAACTGTGTCATGTTGAATGATAATCAGGAAAGGGCCTATTTATTCTGTTATACCTGTTTTAGACAGGAAAACATGCTATTTGGTAGGTTAAAAAAGACCAGCTTTATGAACTAAACACTTACCCATGTCATTAACAAAGATGAAGAATAATAAGAAGATAAGCACATTAAATTTCCAAACATCAAAATGAAACTAAGGATAACTGAAATCTGAAAAAAAGTGAAAAAAATACATTTTATGGTTATTACATATATCAGCATAATGCATACTTTGTAGGTATATAGCCATTTCTAATGCAAATGTATTTGCATAAAGATGAATGACTCTTGGCCAAATGACAATAGAATTTCAAGTCACTGCTAGATTCTAAGTATTAAAATTCAAGACTATAAACTCTATCTGGCAGAATTTAACTTTTTCTCCATCTGCTACTTGGAACAATGAAAAATAAGTCTATGATTTCTGTTGTTTTATCAATGGAGTAATATAACAAGAAAGACTTAAGTTATAAATACTAGTTTTACTAATCTTATTTTTGTTAGACTTCAGGACTTCTATTATTTATGAAGCTTTACTAACTTTTTATGTTTTTAAGGAAGCTATGTTTGGGACCTAAGCCAAAAACAAAATTGCAAGAATATAAAATTTCAGTTAGAGTGTCATATTCAGGCAAAATGCTAAAAATCTCATGTCTGAGAAAGAAAAGGCAGTTTTAAAAGCAGTAATAATAATAATAATAAATAAAACATAAAAATAAAAGTTTTAGAGAGCAAAACACATATACAGTCTACTTGAAACTATAATCTGTTATAATATGACATCTATAATATACATTTCCAGTTTTCCTTCTGGGTATCACCAATAGCATATGTATTAAATATTACCAAAGAGGAGGTACCCTATAAAACAGAATCACTTTGATTTTATAAACTCTGAGGACCTATCTTAATATTTGACTTATATATATTAAAAATGTTAGTTACCATGTTCACATAAATGATCTTCCGAAATTTGCTTGGTTTAATGTATCCCACAACATACATGGGAAATAATGATGCTATCTGAAATAATATAAAAAAGCAAAAGTGAAAAAAAGTATAGAAAACTAACACTTTACTATTCACAGGCAAAGTAAATATAAGAGAAGAGCTACAGTTCTAATAATGGTAAGCAAAGGAATTTGAACCAGCCTTCCCACTAAGAACTAGAATGGCTAAGAAAAATATAAATATATAAATAAAAATATTTTAAAAATATGTATAAAAGCCACAGATTATTAACAAAGCAAATGAGGAATTAAAAAGATAGATGGCAATCTATAGCAATGAGCATGACGTTTTGGGCCACTTTTCTCCCAGAGGTATCTGCCAATTTCAACAGAAGCAGATGCCTGCCAGCTGAGAGGCAGCTGGGAGACCAGCAAGCTGAGCAGGCATTTCAGCAGATTCAGCAGTCAGAGTGCACCAAGAATGGTGCTTTAGTTTGGAGTTTCAAAAGGCCATACTATAATAGTGAACCAGAAATCAAGCAGCCCTCAGAAAGACTGAAACCTATCTATGTATCATCTCAATCTGATTGCATGAAGGTGGTTCAAGATTTATTAGTGCTTTTTACTTGCCTCTCCAATTTTTCATGTATAGTGTCCAGCACCAAATCAAAAATAACCCAGCATAGATGGAGATAAGACACTATCACTAACACAATAAATAGATCCACAAAAGATTTAGATCAGGGATCAGCACATTTGCTATATAAAAGGCCAGATAATGAATATGTTATGCTTTGTTGGTCACATACAGTCTCTTGTATATTCTTTTTCTATTTTTGTTCTATAACCCTTTAAATATATAAAAACTATTCTTAGTTTGGAGATCACTCAAACGCTTAATCAGATATGTCCTTAGTTTTGCTTCAAATGTTCCAGGAAATAACTGATAGGATTGAAAATTCCAGGAGAGCACAGAAGTCATTAAAAAAAAAAAAAAATGGGTCAGGCATGGTGTCTCACGCCTATAATCCCAGGATTTTGGGAGGCCAAGATAGGAGGACTGCTTGAGCCCAGGAGTTCAAGAGCAGCCTGGGCAAGATGGTGCTACCTCATCTCTACAAAAAATTAAAAAATTAGCCAGATGTGGTGGCACAATGAACTAAGTTTAACCTTAATCTATGAAAAACACAATTAAGAATAAAATCTTAAAGTACTCCCAGAATATAACAAATAACATTGAATTATCCCTCTGTAAGCATGAAATGCACACATACAAACAAAACTATACACATTAGTAAAGAAAAACAAAAGCCTAGTATATATCCAGAGAATGACTAGAAAATCATAACAGCAATATCAAACTTACCCAATAGCTGCTTCTTCTTCTTTTTTAACTGAGTCTCGCTCTGTCACTCAGGCTGGAGTGCAGTGGTGCTATCTCGGTTCACTGCAACCTCCGCCTCCCCCCGGGTTCAAGCAATTCTCTGCCTCAGCCTCCTCAGTAGCTGAGATTACAGGCACCCGCCACCATGCCCAGCTAATTTTTTTGTATTTTTAGTAGAGACGGGGTTTCACCATCTTGGCCAGGCTGGTCTTGAACTCCTGATCTCATCATCCACCCGCCTCAGCCTCCCAAAGTGCAAGAATTACAGGTGTGAGCCATTGTGCCCAGCCCCAAAGAGCTTCTTAGTTTCATCAGTATCACTGCATTAATAAATTTGCTTGCAATGAAGTGCTGCTCATTAAAAATCGATTCTACTCTGTTGGCATGTGCAAATAATGAAAACCATAGAATAATGTCTGTGTTATAACCTGAAAGGGGCCAACTATCATGAAGTAAAACAGAGGGAATACTTTAAACATGCAGCACCAATTGAGCTGGGGTTATAATTTCATTCTTTGTAGGCTATTGGCAGCATGAGACTTCTTGGCAGAATTTCTCACTTCCAATATAGAATATTATTACTATCATCAGTATTTGTTATGCAGGAAGGAGCTCTGATGGAAAATCTTAGTATCATGAAATTTCCTCAAAATTCTCCATTTACTCTCTGCTTCCCCAGTTCAGTTTCTTGGTACTAGTTATGTAGTTGCTTTAGAAACAGGATATGGGCTCAGCTCACTTAAGCAATGATGAGCTTTATGATTAAAGCTCGCAGAAATGCTGCCAGGTAAAATTCTGCTCCACAGACAAAACAGCCAACATTTAGCTGGATTAGAAGCAGCACGTCCTGCTGTGAAGAGTAGGATTGGCCCTTAGCATGCTGTGTAGCTTGGCACCCAGAATGAACACCAGGACAAAAGGAAAATCTATAGGTAGATATATACAGATAATATCTCAAACACCAAAAATAACATTTGTGAATAAATATAATAGAAAAACTCGTTCACATGTCGAGGCTTAAAATCTGTCAAACTAATCAATACAATAAAAGAATGTGGAATTATATTATTTCATAAAAATCATACCTTTCAGTAAACTTTATTCCTTATTTTGAAAATCTTTTAGGGCATAAATGTAACATATTTTAAAATTTCTATGGAAACAACCAAGTACATTTTGCATTCAACTTAATTAATACACGCAAAGGAATATAAATCATTCTATTACAAAGACACATGGGTTCACTGTAGCACTACTGACAATAGCAAAGACATGGAATTAACACAAATGCCCATGAGTGACACACTGGATAAAGAGAATGTGGTACATATACACCATGGAATACCACACAGCCATAAAAAGGAACGAGATCAGGTCCTTTGCAGGGACATGGATGGAGCTAGAGGCCATTATTCTCAGCAACAGGAACAGAAAACCGAACACCACATATTCTCACTTATAAGTGGTTGCTGAACAATGAGAATACATGGACACAGTAAGGGGAACAACATACACTGGGGCCTGTCGGGGGATGGGGTGGGGAGAGCATTAGGAAAAATAGCTAATGCATGCTGGGCTTAATACCTGGGTGATGGGTTGATAAATGCAAAAACCACCATGGCATACATTTACCTACGTAACAAACCTGTACATCCTGCACATGTACCCCAGAACTTAAAAATAAAAATTAATTTAAAAA